AGCCCCAGCCTAGGGCCCAGAGCCATCGTCCGCCACCAGCACCGTGGCGCGCTTTCGAAGCAGCTCTGCGTGCGACCAAGGCAGGCAACCGGCAAGGGTGTGGCGCAGCCTTTCGGCCCGCATGCCAGGGCGCGGCAGACAGGCGTGGGCGAGGGCTGCTTGAGCAGGACAGCACACTCCCCGACGCTGCCACGCGCGCCACCGCCACCCGCGCCGCCGGCAGCTTGCACGTGGTTGCGGGCGGCTCGGCTTGACCGGTGTCGACATGCGGGTCACCTCTACTTGCTGCGGGGTCCAGCTGCCGCCTGTGAGCGCCTCCAGCTCGATCAAGGCCGGCAGGTCAGCAGCGACTGCAAGCCGCAGGGCACAGCAACATGTTGATCTGCTGCTACTGCTGTGTGCTGAACTGCCAGGCAACGGTAGCCTGCGACATGCCGGCCAGCTAGGTGCCGCAGGGGCCCAAGGGGACCTGCTGTGCACACCGGCGCATGACATGACCTACCAAAGCTGCATCGGCCTCCAATGGAAGCCGAAAGGTGAGATCTTGATCCACAGCATGCTGGGGCGTGATTTGCCCTACAGGCCCCCACCCACACACACACCTCATGGCCGGGGGTGTCCAGGAAGGTGACCTGCCGCGCCTCTCCCATGTAGTTGACGTCGCAGGTATAGGCGCCGATGGCCTGCGTGATGCCGCCCGCCTCGCCCGCCGCCACCTTGGTCTTGCGGATGAAGTCGAGCAGGGAGGTCTGCGCGGGGGTGGGGGTGGGGGGTGGGGAGTGTGTGAGTGGTGGCTGACAGGAAGCACCGCATGCGCGTGCGGGGCGGCGCGTCGTGCATGCGCCAGCGGACGTCCCAGGCAGCCGCCGCCTGCCCCCCAGCGGCCGCCAGCAGGGAGCCGCCGCCGCCACTGCAGAGCCCTCGCCGGCCCCCACCCGGCAGCAGCGCGCTGTGGGCAGGCCCGCGCCCCTCCGCCCCGCCTGCCCCGCACCTTGCCGTGATCCACATGCCCCATGACAGTCACCACCGGCGGGCGGGCCTGCAGGAAGCCGACGTCCTCCTCATCGGTCCAGTCCACTGCACCAGACATGGCCGGGCAGCAGGGAGGGAGGGAGGGAACGCGGGGCAGGGAGGAACGTTGGCACGCAGCGCGTCAGCCAGCAGCGGCGCGGGTGGCAGCAGAGGCGGGGCGGGGCCCGTGTGCCGAGCGGCCCTGCAAGAGCACCCCGCGGCGTCGAGCCCCGGCCCCGGCCCAAGAGGCCAGCTCATGCAAGGCTCCAGCCCACCCAGGCGACCGGCCCCGGCCGCCACAGCCACAGCCGCCTGCCCTCGCCACCGACCCAGGCGACCGGACCGGCCGCCACAGCCACAGCCACAGCCTCACCCGACTTGCGGGCACCGTCTGAGGGCCTGCTCTCATCCATATCCAGCACATCCACGCCATACCCCTGCACCAGGCACAGCACAGCACAGCACAGCACGGCACAGCAGGGAGGGTCAGCCACCACAGGCAAGGTGACAGCCAGCGCGGGGCGGCGGCACCCCATCCTGCCCGCCTGCCTGCCGACCGTCGGCTGGGCCGGGCCGGGCCGGCTGCTGGCAGCGCCGCTGGCTGCCGGCCACGCCCTGCGCTGCCCACACTCACCACGCCCACCGCCTTGACCGTCTCGGGATCCAGGGTGGAGTTCATCTGCGGCAGGTAGCACACGCGGCGCGTCCGCGCAGCGGGGTCAAGGGAGCGGCAGGGGAGCCACAGCCCAGCCGACCAGGCCGGCAGGCAGGTCAAACAAGCACGCAGGCGCGCGGCCTGCCCCGAGCAAGCCTCCCTTTCATCATTTTGGGCCTGTGCCACACCACCACCACACCACCACCACACCACGCCACACCACCACCACCGCCGTCACCACCACCACGGCTGGCCCTTCTCTGCATCACACGCCACACGCGAGGCCTTTTCTCGCCCACCTGCACCATGATTCCCTTCATGAACAGGAACTTGACGATCTCGGTGGCGGGCAGCGCCAGCATGGCCGCCAGGTCCTGCACCGTCATGCCCTCGGCCCCCACCTCAAATATGTCCTCCCGCACCGCCTGCGCCAAGTATGAGGGAAGTTTTTGGGGGGGATACAGTCAGTGGTCAGCCTGCTGTGAAGGATTGATCAAAATGGCCGACAGAGAGGCGAGGGGGTGGGGAGGGGAGGATGTGAGCTGAGCGGGGGGAGCGTCGGGGATCTGTTTGAGGGCGAGGGGAGCAGAGGGTGTGGCTGGCGGGCACAGGAGGAGGGGATGGAGCGGCAAGGATGGCAGCGCGCTGCCCCTCGGAACCCTTTTGCTGCGCTGGCGGCTCGTGAGCCGGCCTGCCAGCCGCAGGCAGCACCACAGGCAGCGCCACAGGCGGCGCCGCACCTTGTTGGCCTCGCGCTCCTCGGCGCGCTCCTCGCGCCGCGTCTGCCGCGCCTTGCGCCTGCTCTCAATGTTGATTTTCTCGCCCTTCTTGCGCTTGTCGTTCCAGCTGCCGCCGCCGCCGCTGCCTGCGGGGGGGGCGAAGCGCGCGCGGGGAGAGGGAGCGGCAGCGGGCGGTGAGGGGTGGGCGCTGCCATGCCCCAAGCAAGCATGGTGCGAGGAGACCGCTGGCTGGCTGCCCGGCTGGCTGCCTGGCAGCGTGCATCCAGCCCCGCTGCTGCCCCTGTTCCATGCTGCTGCTGCTGCTGGCCCCACACAAGCGGCAGCAACACAAGCAACCCAAGAGCCTCACCTCTGCCGCCCTTCTGGCCTCTGCCAGCCCATCCGCCGGTCTGGGCGCCGCCTGTGGTGGGTGCGGCTGTCGCGCCGCCGCCACGCCCGCCAGCATAGCCGCCGCCGCCGCCGCGTCCGCCTGCAAAGCCGCCGCCGCCGCCGCCGCGCCCGCCCGCATAGGTGCCGCCGCCGCCGCCACGCCCGCCTGCAAAGCTGCCGCCGCTGCCGCCACGCCCGCCTGCAAAGCCGCCGCCGCCGCCGCGTCCGGCGTAGCCTCCGCCTCCTCCGCCGCGCCCAGCGTAGCCGCCGCCGCCTTCAAAGCGGCCTGTGCGGTCTGGCTTGTCTGTTAGGGTACCGGCGCCGCCGCTCTGGCGGCCCGCACCATTTGCCGCGTAGCCGCCGCCGCCCTGCGATGCCTGCCGCTCCTCCTGCCGCTTGTGGTAAGCCTCCTGCCTGTTAGCCGCCTGCTCAGCAAAAAACTTCTCTTTGGAGGCTCGCGTGCGGGCCGAGGGAGGCGCCCGCCAGATGGGCGGCTTGCGGGAGGGCGGCGCCAGGAGCGGCGGTGCCGGGGCAGGTGCGGGCGCCGCTGCCGCCTCTGGCGCGCTGGCCTGCTCCGCATCCGCCGCCACAGCCCGCACAGGCAGGCGGGCCGGGAGCCGGGCTGCCTGGAATGCATGGCTGCGCGGCAGGCTGGCGCCGCATTGCAGCGTCTGGCCCAAGAAGGACATGTGGCTGTGGTCTATGCTCCGCTTCTCCTGCCTGGCTGACTGCCGTGAGCTGCCTTCAGGTGCAGCGGGTGAGCATGTGGTGGAGGGCCAACCGGCTGCTGTGCAGTGCACAAACTGTGTTGAGAAGATTTGTGGCAGACGCGGGGTGTGGTGCATTTGTGGCGAGGCGTTCGCTCATGTCTGAGCTGGCTGGCCTATCCATGTGTGCTGGGGCGTGGCGGGGGCATTGCTGAGCCCCTCAGGCTCTCGTCCATCTTCGTGCCGTCCTGTCATATCGGCTGCTGCACGTAGACCGCCCCCCGAGCCTACCCACCGGCACTCCGCCTGGTTCATCGCCGTCTACCTACCAGGAGCGTGGTGCAGCACTGCGGGGGCTCAAGCCATCGTTGCCAGCATCTACCGGTTGGAGGCGGCCTGCACGCAGCGGCCAAGCGGCAGGATGGCAGCGATGACCTCGCTCAAAGCCTTCAGCGGCTTTAGAACGCAAGGTGGGGTGGCCACACAGCACTGGCAGGGCGGTGGCTGCGGTTGGGGCGACGATGGCCAGTTCTCGCAGGGCCGGGGCTCACCGCCGCCGCCCGCCGCCGCCCGCCCGCCCGTGCGCTCCGCAGACAGCATGCCGGTGCGCCAGCAGACCAGCCACTCGCAGGGCTTCTGGCAGGCCTCGCAGCGCGCCGTCGCCAACGCGCGGTCGGCAGCAGCAGCGGCGCCGCGGCGGCAGGTCACGCGCATGATGCCAATTGGCGTGCCGCGCGTGCCGTACCGCACGCCCAAGGAGGGCTCCTGGCAGTGGGTGGACATCTGGAACTGCCTGTACCGCGAGCGCATCATCTTCCTGTCCAAGCCTGTGGACGAGGAGCTGGGCAACCAGGTGGGTGCTGGCGGGGCAGGCGCCGGCGCGTGTGGCGCGGTGGCGCGGCGGGCACGGGGCGGAACGCTGGGGCGGCGGAGGCAGGGCGAGGGCTGGTGGTCGGACTGGGCTGGTGCGTGGGGGAGCTGTGAACAGGCCTTTGGTGCCTCTTGCTGCTGGGGCTTGCCGTGGGCCTCTCCATTCTCAGCCTGCTGCACCTCACACACTCTCTCTCTCTCTTTCTCTCTCTCTCACACACACACACGGCACACGCACCATGCCCTCTGTCCCTGCCCCCCTCCCGCAGCTGGTGGCCACCATGCTGTACCTGGACAGCGAGAACAAGAAGGACATGAACATCTACATCAACTGGTGTGTGGGCGTGTGGGTGGGTGTGGAAGGGGGTGGCCCTGACATGCCCCTGTGTGGGCTTGAGTGGGGGGTGAGGGTGGCCCCGTGTGGGAAAGGAGGTTTCATGGGGAGCAGGCAGGGCAGGCAGGGCGCAAGGCAGAGGAGGCTGCGCCAGGGCACGGCGGCAGCGGGCCGGCCGTCGACCGCCTGCCCTTTCCGTGCCTGCCCTGCCGCGCCCCGCAGCTCTGGCGGCGAGGTGGTGCCCTGCCTGGCCATCCACGACACCATGCGCCACATCAAGAGCGACGTGGGCACCGTGGGCTTTGGCGGCTGCATGGGCATGAGCGGGTTCCTGTTGGCGGTGGGCAAGAAGGTGCGACAAGCCGGGGTGCGGCGGCCGGCCTGGCAGGGCAGAGCCAGGCAGGCAGCGGGCCCAGATAGCGGCGACGATGCCTGTTGTCTCCGGGAGTAGCTGCTGCTCCGACTGGCTGCGTGCGGCCCGCTCCAACCGATGCTGGCATCTGCTGCCGCCCCTGCGCCTGTGCCGCAGGGCAAGCGGTCCGCGCTGCAGAACACGCGCATCATGGTGCACCACCCCAGCGGCGCGGCACGCGGCCAGGTGCGCGCCGCCGGGCCTGCATCCACGCCACGGGCTGCCCGCCCTACCTCCCGGCCCCTGGCCATCCGCCCGTTGCACCGGCTCGCAGCCAGCGTCCTGTGTCGGGTCCGCCGTCCCTGCTGCCACACCCTCCCCGTGTGCTTGTCCAGCCCTCAGCATTTCCTGCCCCCCATCCTTGCCCCCATCCTGCCCGTCCCGCCCCGCGCAGGCCTCCGACATCAACCGCGAGGCTCGGGAGCTGCTGCGCATCCGGGACTACATGGATAACATTCTGGCGCAGGCCACGGGGCAGCCCTTTGACAAGGTGGGCGGCTGCGGGGGGCGCTGGGTTGGGTGGCGGGTGGCAGCATCCTGGCGACTGCTGCCCACGGCTGCCCTTTGGCGAGGTGGGCAGCCGTTGGGCAAGGGACAGTGCGAGGGGCGTGTGGCGAATGTGTGGTGTCTGGGGTTCTGGGCGGCGGCGGCTTGCTGTGTTGTGCCTGCGGCAGGCGTATCGACGGAACCCGCTGTGCCGTGCTGTGTCACGCTGTGCCACGCTGTGCAGGTGGCCCAGGACTTCTCCCGCAACTGCTACTTCGACACCTCGGAGGCCCAGGAGTACGGCCTGATAGACAACATCGTGCGGCCGCGGCGCAGCGCCATGCTGGGCGTCTGAGCGCTCGGCTTGGCAGGTCGGCTGCGCCATGCAGCGGGCCTCTCATCCCTTCTCTGGTTCACGCTCCTCTCCCCGGTCACACCCTTCTGTAATGCAACCCACCTGGTTGTGGCGTCGGCGTGACGAGGCGGCTCCGCGGCAGGTCGTGGTGGTGGTGGCGAGCGACTGACGACGTGCGTCAGCATTTTTTGGAGGCCGCTTGTAGCCGGGAATACCCATGGATTGTTCAGCGCCTTGCCAAGCAAGCGCCTACGCCAGAGCTGGCGCCCACCAGCAGCTGCGGGTGCCACCGGCGCCCACGCTCCGCCATGCTGGCCTCAGATGCAGAGACTGCTCTCATGGCCGAATCGGCGCCTGCCTGCGGTGCATATTACCCACCCTGCCTGCTTCCCAGTGCTCACACCCAGCCCTCACGCACTGCCGAGAGCCCCGCCAGGACAGGGTTCCCCACTAGCGCCGTGCGGGGGTTTTGGCTGCCCTTGACCCGCTGATACGGCTCCTACATGGATCGTCAGGCGCTGACGGCCTAGCCAGCAGAGAGTTGGGCGCCTGACCGGGCATTTCGACTCGACAGGGACCGCCCCTGGGTGCTGCGCGCGATGGCAGGCAAGCCGAAGAAGGTAGGAGCCATCTGGAATGCCGGTGGACGGGGCAGGCGCCCGCTGTCTTCGATCAGCGGCAGAGCCGGGGTGGCAATTGTGTGTGTGTCGCCTCCTGTGCCTGCCAGGGCCTGTCTGTTCTCCACAGCGGCGTGGAACTGTGCAGGGTGATTGCAGCCGCAAAGCAGCGCCTGTCAGCCCCGCGGGCGGCCCGGCGCGTGCCGGGAGCGGCGGCCATGGCTTTGCATATGCGCTGCTGACATGATTTGCTTTGCTGAATGACCCATGCAGTTCAAGATCGAACCCTTCAAGCACCCGTTGAAGCTAGACCCAAACTATGCCGGTGAGATGCCGCCAACCCGCAGCACGCTCAGCTGCGTTTCGCCACCGCAGCCAGTCGTTGTGTGGTTTTGACTCGAGCACCTGCCAATGTGACCCGTCCCTGTTGTCCCTCCATCTGACCGCAGACAATACCTGGCTGTTGTTAGAGAGCGCGATCCACGAGATCAACAACCACAATGCCAGCGGGCTGAGCTTCGAGGAGCTCTACAGGTGTGGGCGTTGTCTGTGCCGTGTGTGATTGTGGAGGGAAGGGCTACGATGCCGAGTTTAGGAGTGTGGCAGTCCAGTTTCCGGCCCCCCACTAAAGCCCGTCCCTTTCTGACCGAGGCCTGTCCGCTATCAGGCGACCTGCAGCCTCCTCGTTCCCCGTCCCGTGACCTCAGCCCCGCCGCCTGCCTGTCCCCGCAGGAATGCGTACAACATGGTTGTGAACAAGTACGGGGAGCGGCTGTACCGCGGCCTGGTGGACACCGAGACCGCCCACCTGCGCAAGGTACCGCCGCTGCCGCCGCTGCTGCAGCTGCCAGACAGGCGCTCGAATCAGCCTGCGCTCCCAGGCCCAGCCGGCTCCTCGCCCTCGGCCTGGAGTGCTGCCGCCGTGGCCCTGCTGCCAGCAGTCCCCTGCACACATACCTTCACAACCCCGCGCGCGCGCGTGCCTGCCCCCCTCCTTTCCTCCTGCCGCAGGTGGCGGCGCGGATAGAGGCGGCCCAGGGCGAGGGCTTCCTGCGCGCCATCAAGGCCGAGTGGGAGTCGCACAACAAGTCGGTGCAGATGATCCGGGACATCCTCATGTACATGGACCGCATCTACGTGAAGCAGCAGGTGGGCGAGGTGGCGCTGAGGTGGCGCCGAGCTGAGGTCGCACCGCCCAGCTGTCTGGGGAGCGACCCAGCGTGTCTCCGCAGCGAGCCGGGGCCTTGCGGTTGGGTGGCCCTGGTGTGCATGCGGTGGTTGGGTGGGGGCTTGAGGCCAGACCAGCACCGCAACGTGCCCGCTGCTGTCGCCTGCCTCTCATCGCTTGCCGCTCCTGCCGCCGCTCCCTCCCGCTGCCACCTCCCTGCCCCGCAGAACAAGACCACGGTGCACCAGCTGGGGCTGGACCTGTGGCGGGACGTGGTGGTGCGCAACCGCCGCATCCGGGACCGCCTGCTGGGCATGCTGCTGGACATGGTGGGGCGGGAGCGGGCGGGGGACGTGGTGGACAAGGGTCTGGTGCGGGCCATGACACAAATGCTGGTGGACCTGGGGCACCAGGGTGAGCGCTGCATGCTGCGCTGCGCTGTGCTGCGCTGTGCTGTTGTTTTGCCATGATTGCTGCGCTGTGCCATGCTGTGATGTGCTGTGCTGAGCATGCTGTGGTGTGGTGTGCGTGATGGGCAGGCTCCGCCTGCTGCGCCTGCCTGCGGTGCGCTGCTGCCGCCGCTCTAGGCTAGCCGCCGCCCACTTTGCCTGCCCCCGCACCCGCTTCACTGCGCTGTTCTGCGCCGTGCTGTACCGTACTGTACCGCAGTGTACTGCGAAGACTTTGAGACCCCCTTCCTGGAGCGCACTGCCGAGTTCTACGCGGCAGAGGTGGGCTGGGGCTTGAGCCGGGGCTTGAGCCGCCTGCTGGCCGCCCCGTGGCTGTGCCTACACTCTCGCCACAGTATACCGCCTGCCTGCCTGCCTGCCTGCCTGCGTCTCCTCCCTTGTCCACCTCTCTGCCTGTGCTCCTCGCCTGCCTGCTCCAATCCTGGCCCCTGCTTACGGCCCACTCTTTCCTCCCTGCCCCCCGGCCCACCTCCCGCAGGCCGCCGAGTTTGTCTCCTCCTGCGACTGCCCCACCTACCTGGCGCACGCGGAGCGGCGGCTGGGCGAGGAGGTGGAGCGTGTGGGGGCCTACCTGGACCCATCCACTGAAGCTAAAGTTGTCAAGGTGAGGAGGGGGGAGGCCACGCACAGGGGCGGCAGGGAAGCATTGCAGGGGCAGCACCGCGGTACGGTGGATGCAGGCTGGGGGGGAGCCTGGCTGGCCCCTCAGCCTGGTCGCGCAGCAGATCTGGAAAGCCGTGGAAGCGGCGGCTTCGTCTGGGCCGGTCGCCCGGGTGCCTGAGCGGCGGCCGGCCAACGTTTCCTCTTCTGAAAGGGTGCGCTCCGCTGCGGTCACCGCCGCCGCCGGCCCTGCTGCCGCCGCAGGTGGTAGAGCGGGAGCTGATCAGCCGGCAGATGCGGGGGCTGGTGGACATGGAGAACAGCGGGCTGGTACCGCAGCTGGTGCAGGACAAGTACGGGGACCTATCCCGCATGTACTGCCTGTTCAGACGCGTGGAGGGTGGCGTGGACCTGCTGCGCCAGGTGAGGCCTCACCTGCATGAGCTGCCGGGACAGCCAGGCTGCCCTGCTTGGGGGTGGGGGCGCGGCTGGCGAGCCGACGGGCAGCGTGTCGGGCTGCCACTGCAGCCGCTGCAGCTGCACAGCAGGCGGGCCCGCCGCGCACTCCACCATGCCTCCACTCCGCGTCACCCCCTCTGCCTCCCTGCATCCCCCTCCCTGCTCCGCCCTGCCTGCAGACGATGGGTGACCACCTGAAGGAAGGGGGCAAGGCGCTGGTGCTGGACCCAGAGCGGCAGAAGGACCCTGTGGAGTGGGTGCAGCGCCTGCTGCAGGTGGGCGGCGCGGCACCCCTGTGTGTGTGGCTGGTGGCTGGTGGTGGGGTGTGGGCCAGGGCTGGCAGGCGCTCGGTGCATGCGCTCCTGCCTGCTACCTCGCCTTGCAACACGCGCGCTGCCCGCTGCCGCACCCGTGCACCGCGCCGCTGTACCGCACGTGTACTGCCCGCATTGTACCGCAGGAAAAGGAGAAGTACGACGCCCTCATCTCCCGCGCTTTCTCCCACGACAAGCTCTTTGTGGCCGCCCTCAACTCCGCCTTTGAGCACTTCCTCAACCTCAACCCCCGCTCCCCAGAATACATCTCCCTCTTCATGGACGACAAGCTGCGCAAGGGCCTCAAGGTGGGCGCCTGCCAGAGGTAGCAGGGAGCGGCGGGAGGGGCTGCGCCGCCCCCACCCCTGAGTGGAGAGGCAGCAGGCGGCGGGGGCTCTGCCAGAGCTTCCCAGCGCGGCCTGGGTGGCTGGCAGGGCGGGCATGCGCGGGCGGCTGTGTGCCTGGGTCGGTTTGCGCGCAGTGCAGCGTGCACGATGGGCCACGCTGTACCTCCATGTACCACCCCGTACCATACCGTACCGCAGGGTATGAGCGAGGACGACATAGAGGTGGTACTGGACAAGGGCATCATGCTCTTCCGCTTCCTGCAGGCGCGTGCAGGCCTGCCCTTCCCAGCCCTGGGCCTGGCCTGGTGGTCCTGCCCGGCCTGGCCTGCCCTTGTCGCAGCCCTCACCTCGCCACCTGATTGCCCCAACTACCTGTCTACCCTACCCTGAACCTGCAAAGTTTTGCCGCGCACCCGGCTGCCTGCAGGAGAAGGATGTGTTTGAGAAGTACTACAAGCAGCACCTGGCCAAGCGCCTGCTGCACGGCCGGTCCACCAGCGAGGACTCGGGTGCGGCTCTGGGCCGCTGTGTGCTGTGCTGTAGCGTCGTGTGGCGTCATGTGCTGTGGCGTCATGTGCTGTGCTGTGGCGTGCTCCGCCGGGCCGTGCACAGGCTTCTCTGCGCCGCGCAGTGCTGCGTCGCGACGCCCTGTACCTGCACAGTCTGCCGCTGCCTGGCCATGGCTGACTCCTGCCTGGCCTGCGCCTCTCCGCCTTCCCTCCCCTCCCCACTCCTTGCCCGAGCGCAGAGCAGCTGCTGCTGACCAAGCTGAAGACCGAGTGTGGCTACCAGTTCACCTCCAAGCTGGAGACCATGTTTAGCGACATCAAGCTCAGCAGGTGGGCAGGTGGCGTGTGTGTGGAGCGTGGTGGTGGTGGTGGTGGTGGGTCCGGATGGCTGCGGCGCCTGCAATGGCCATGCTGTTGTCCTGCCTGCCAGCTGCCCACTCGGCACGGCAGGCCGGGCGCAGCTGGCAAGCGAGCTGGCGGGCGGGCGGGCCAGAGGGAGGGCTCGTGCCTCCCTCAAGGGCTCACCCGCTGCCGCTATGTCCGCCGTCTGCTTGCACTGCTTGGTGTACCGCATGTTTATACCGCTTGACTGCTTGTACTGCGCACGTGTACCGCCTGCAGGGAGAAGATGGCTGACTTCAAGGGATACCTGGAGGGGCAGGGGCGGAGGCTGGATGTGGAGATGACCATGCAGGTGGGCGGTACAAGGCGGTACCATGCGATACATAGCGTGCAGTGCAGACCAGCTGCTGTGGCGGCGTCGGCGGTGCCGCAAAGGGTGGGAGCAGAGGGTGGCCGGCCCCTCACATCCCGCCCCCTGCGCGGCTTTCCCACCCCTGCCATTGCCAGCTGCCACTCCACCGCTCCGCTCTCCCCGCCTCCAACACACACCCTCGCCCTGCCGCCGCCCCGTCACGCCCCGACCGCAGGTCCTGACCAGCGGCATGTGGCCGCAGACTAGTTCAGCGCCCACATGTGTGCTGCCGCGCGAGCTGGAGCAGTGCACCTCTGAGTTTGTGGCATACTACCTGCACGCCAACTCGGGTGGGTGCGGGGCATGTGTGTGGTGGTGGTGGTGGTGTGTGTGTGTTGGGGGGGTGGATGTGGCGGGGTGTGTATGTTGGGTAGGGTGTGGTAGGCTGTGTGTGTGTTACGTGGGGCGAGCCGGCTGGGTTCCTGCTGCACCTGGCACAGCCCTCTGCAGGACCGTGGGGCAGCAGGCCGCCCGCCCTGCAGCCGACCAGCCCGCCTGAGAAGCCTGGCTGCTCCCAACCGCTCCAAGGCTTGGCTTCCAAGCTGGCTGCGGGCATGCCTGCCGCCTGCCTTGCGGCGCAGGTCGGCGGCTGACGTGGCAGACGGGGCTGGGCACCGCCGACATCAAGGCCATGTTTGGTGGCGGCGCCCGCAAGTACGAGATCTCCTGCTCCACGTACCAGGTGGGGCGGGCAGGGT